CTCGCCTCGCCTCGCCTCGCCTCGCTCGCCCCGCCGCGGCCCTGCCTACTGCATATAGAGAGACAGTGCAACGCGCCGTACAAATCCAATCCGAAACTCTCGTTTGATTATCAAGCGAATTCCCACGGCCGATTGTAAATCAACTGCTGTACCGTGCCGGAGGATCATACTGATGCTTTAGATTGGACGGTATGGCGCGGTGTACGAATATCGAAAATTTGACCTTTTTCGCGGGGAGATACGCACGGCGAAAAATTTGATTGAACATTGTCGTGGGGCGCAGCGATGCGAAACGCAAAATGCCAAACGACGTTTCTGACAGGGAAAGATTTGTTTTAAATTCGATGCAGTTTGCTGTGATGTATTCGTAAAAATAAGGAAAATCTTTTAAAATCGTATTTTAAATATTGTCTATTAGTATCAGTAATCATAAGGAATATAACGATTATGACGTTTTTAAACTTTAAATAAGAAACAACAATTTCTGCCTCATCAAAAGAATGTCTGTATAATAATTTATAAATTTTGTTTAATTTACACGTTAAAAACAGCATCAATATTAGAAAACTATTAGATAAATTAATACTGTTTAAATTCTAATATAAGTGATCAATGTTATCGACTATAGAAGAAAAATATTAGACTGAAATAGATTATTTTTCACGTCTTTCTTGAAATAGAGCAAATTTTTAGACACTCTCTAGAAAGTTATTTTTAAATATATCAAAACTAAGTAAGGTAGGATTGAATTATTACAATTGGTTATATTAAGAATTTAAGATTTTATCGGTAAGGAAATTTAAAAAATGCAAAGTTTTTGTATAATATAATAATTTTAACATCCCCGTTCTCTAGAAAGTTGTAGTTAAATGCAAGCAACAAAAGCGTTAAGGAAGCGAGAGATATAAGTTGGCTGTTTAGAATGCTACAAATGAATTCACTGAATAATGCAGAATGGTAGACGGTAACTGTACGAGGGCAAGTGTCTCCGATTATAACAAAAGTGAGGGGCTCGCAGCCCGGCTCATTTGTTATTAACCGGCGCGAAGGAGCGTTGAAGTGCAGAAAGACTTCGAACACGACTTCACACTTTGACTCCCGTGGCCCTTGGTAACTTTAGATAATTACCGGTGAAACTTCCGCGAAGAATCTTACGTACTTTCTCGTAATATTCTCAAAGTACGTTCTTTCGCGATTCGTCGTCATCGATAACATTGCGTTGCGCAAATTGAGGCGAAGTGAATTTTTTTTGAACATAATACATAAAAATAAATTTATTTTTTTAATCAGTGTAATAGAGAGAATATTCTGCATCTTGTAAAATACTCTCTCACTTTTACCTGAGATGTATTTTTATGACATTTTGAAATATTTATCTGATAAACTGTATCGGTTTCAAAAAAGGTAAATCGTTCTTAATTGATACGTGAATCGTTATTTTTGGATTACCATCCCTTCATTTTTCTCAATTTTTTTAAATCTAAATGCAAATTCTATTTAATAACGATAATTTATTCACGTTAATTTTTTTATCTAAAAGATTCTCTGTAAGTAATAGTTAATCAGTATATATTTCTGGGTGTGTGTGATTACTTGCAATTATTTTTTCGGGATCAATCTTATCGACAATATGATGATATAAAGTACAATCGGATCGAAGAAAAGAGAAACTGATCATCACTGGTGCCGTCGTCGCGCAAAATATGGAACAGATAACTAGCTATGTAGGTAGATTTAGCTTGACGCGGCTCATTATGATTTCAGACGAAAAACACGAGTCTTGAAGCGCGAATCGTCTAAGAGATCGCTAAAGGGAATTTATGAAATTTCCTAATTTAATATTCTCTCTCTCTCTCTCTCTCTGTTTCTCTTCTCTTCTCTTTCTCTTTGGTTCACAGCCGCCCCATCGTAGTTTCTCCGTTAACTCTTTCCGTGGTGATTTTTTACTCTCAATGCGAAACCTGATTAAGCGACTTCAGAAACGACATTTCGCTACAGTCGCGCTAACGAAAGGCAGAATAAATTAATGCGATTCTGACAAAATTCGGACAGCACTCTTGTGCGATCAGACGTCGTGCTTTTGCGCCGTTTCTAATATTATTTTGCTCGATTTTGCGTCTCGACGTTTAATAAAAGTGTAATGCTTCGAAATCATCTTTTTGAAATTCACATGCGATTTCAAGTGGCCAATAAGATAACGCTTACTTTATGCACATAATATTGCATCCTTTAAGCCGTTCTTTAATTCAAAATGTCTCCAATTTCGTTCTCGTTTTAATGAATGTTGAACCATTTAAGATTTAACTGTACTACAGAGATACTTGTCATATCCAAATTTTAAAACGTTGATATATGTATATTATTATCTATTAGAGCTCAAATTATCTTTTAAAACGATAGAAATATTTAA